CCCCAAAACCCCAAAACCCCAAAACCCCAAAACCCCAAAACCCCAAAACCCCTAAATATAATAATTAATTGAATTATAGTATTTATAAAGTTTATCTTTCATCCGGCTTTTTGCCAAAACTTTCTCCACTATAAATAGCCTTTTTGTCCTTGAGTTGGTTACTATACAGAATACCCATTGAGATTTCACTCTTCTTTTTAGTTAGATTATTCTGTTCCTGAAACTGGCTCGTTGAGTTTGTCTTGCTAACACTGATACTTTCTTCACCTAAAGATATTAGTATGAACCTTACTTGAAGAGTAATCTTCAAGAGTATGCTCATCTATTTTTGACTCCTCTGTTGCGTTCATGTGAAAAGAGTAGCGTGAATTGTTCATATTCATGGGACCATTTCTATAAATTAATTCAGCTTTCCTACAATTTATCTAGTGTGGGATTCATCAATTTTTTATCTAGAGCTATAAAGGTTATTCTGTACTCGTACATGTGTTTGTATTGTTCTTTTCCATTCTGAGCTGCTTGAACAAACGATGAGACCTATTTTGATATTTGGCTCCATTTTTAACCTCCTTTTCAAGAGTTTTGATGTGCCTCTCAAGGAAGTCTATTTTCTTGGTCAGTTTTTGAAGAATCTTGAGAGAAGTTTTTTGATAATTATGTGGTTTTCTGCCTTCCTCTTCCTCATTATAGTATCCTATGACTGTTCGTTTGAGGATGTCTGGAACACCTTCCTTAATACCGGCTTCTTTGAGATCCCGATTGATTTTGAGGACTTTAATGACTGCCATTTTGAACAATTTTATTGGTGTCAGAGAAGTTTCTTTAGATCTGAACATTCCAAAGCCAATAAATGGATCGGAAGTGTTGTCGATGAATATCCTTGCTTTTTCAATAGCATGGTTGAAATCAGGCAGGTTCTTTTGGAGCAAGGATATACTATCCTTACTCAAGGAATGAAGAGTCACACTGGTTACAGCTCGAGCAGTATGACTGTAAATACTGTCTTTAAGAACTTTGTATCCTCCCATATAGCATCCTTGGTAGAGATTATGCAGGACTAATTCGTGATCCTCTACCTTCAGGATCAAGTCAACCTCTCCTCTTGTGATGATAAGGAGATTATCAACGGCATTACCTAAATGTGAGTGAGTTTGGCTTACCTTCTCTGAAAATAATGTCATTTGCGTCATAATATTTCTGCTGGAGATGATAAGTCACTTCCTCTATTGACTCCTCACTAAGTCTTTTAAAAAAAGGAATTTCCTTGATACTGTATTTGCAAAATAGCTTCAACCTATCCTGGTATTTCTTCAAATTCTGCTTCATTTTCTCAACAATATCAGGGAATTGTTGTCACATATCCTTGAAAGTTGGCTTACAGACAAACGCGAGGGTAGAGTAGTTAGTGGTCTTTACGCTAGCAGTTCTTCGAGAACCACATAAAATGGCAACTTCACCAAATAAATCTCCAGGTTTGACCTTCCTGGCAATATCAGTAAGCGAGTTATGATCTGTGACAAAGACTTCACATTCTCCTTTTGCTATAAAATAAATGTTTGTGCCAGTCTCTCCCTGTGTGATCACTTGGTCTTCAGGCATATGAATCTCTATCACAAGCTTCTTGGTCATATAATCAATCAGTAAAGGTTGGCCCTTAAAAATTGGGTTAAACTTCAAGGTTTCGGAGAAAATGTATTGGACAACTTCTTGCCTCAGAGAAGGAGAAATAATATCCAAGAACGACTTTAATTCTTTTTGAGATTCTTGAAAACTTTCTGTGAAAGTCAAGAATCCAGTGACCTTAGTTTGTAAATTCTCTGGCAAGTTGAGGTTCTTCATAGCTGTAGTTGTAATATCAAATTTCTCTTGGAATAGCGAAGCTTTTCTATTCATTGTAGAAAGAATAACAGTTAATTGACCAAAGAGATTTGCATTAAGAATTGCTCCCATAACTACAAAGAAAGACACAAAAATTATTTCAAATGTTGTTCTTGGACCGATATCATTACCTGAGAACATCATCACTGCATGAAAAAGAGACATGAAATATTTAAAATCCCATTCTTGATTATAAAATGTAGTGTTTACATATACATAATCAAGAGGAGGTAACCATTGTTTCTTTTTAATAACTATGTAATACCAAACTCATCCAAGACAATGGAGGTATATTCACAGAAAGAAGATAAGCTTCAGAAGCCTGAGGGATAACTTAATGTCGTCTTTCACCTTCATAATCGATATAAGTTTACCAAGTCTGAGGACTCTAACCAATTTTAGTAATGAAAATAACTGCAAGAGCCCACTAGAGCTTTTAGAAACTAACATTTTCCCGATGTAATCAAAAGGAATTATTGCCAAGAAATCTAGCCAGAATCTGCACTTTAGATAGTTCTTACCAATTATCCTCAAGTCTGTGATTTCTTCCCCAGTCTTTGAATGGATATAAGTTGTTCGGAAAGAAATCAGTATATCAATAAAGAAAACCATATTCACAAAAAGATCAGGGATAATGAAGAATAGGCTCTGGTCAAAGGAAGGCTCAAATGCTACTTGTATAGGCACCACAAAGCAACTATAAACAGCAAGGAAGATGACCAGGAGGTCCCATTTTACCCTGAAGCCATCTCCACTTGTGAACAGGCATCTTTTTCTTTTATCCTGAAGAATTTCGATTTCTTCTAGATTAAGCATCAGCTAAGAAATGTATTGAAAATCTTCATTAGTAATTTTTGAGGATGTTAAGCTTCCAAATATAAATTATTTGTTTACTTGTTAAAGTCCTTGCGTTCCTAAACTTATAGATATACTCATCATTGATCCCCGTGATCATCTCATTAATGGCATCCTGTCTTAGTCTTAGCACGACAGCCGTCATCACGTCTAGATATGTTAAAGAATTCAAAAGAGATGTATAATAAATTGGTGGTTAAAGCAGCCTAGGATGTACTTAGTTTATTCTTAATTCTCTTTCTGGCAATTAAGCCTGATCATATCTTCCTTCGTCAAAGGGAGAGCAATGGCATCGTTGATCAAGGTGTGACTCCTACTTGCCTGATGCTTACATAAGTTCTCCTTATTATTTAGTTTAAAGGCTAATGGCTTGTGATGAGCTAAATTTCAGGTAAGTATAATCATCAAAATAAAGATTCACAAACTCATGAACCTAAAACTCCTCTTTTGTTACTTACTCTGTTCATTCACTGTTTTATTTATGAGCAATGGACCTCCGTCTTTTCTGCTTCACACTGGCTCTAAGCATCTGGTTCTTTACTACCATCTGGGACTTATTTTTCCTATTGAGCATTGGATTTGGGGTATCTTTTAAAGTGTCTATCTCTCCTTCCTCAGGAACTTCGGCTTCTAAATCAGTAAAACACGAATGTAGTAAGGATAATGGTTTTGTTGGGAATCAGAAAGTTCCAGAAGCTTGTTATGTTTCTGGTGAAACCCTCCTTTGTTAGTTGTTTTTGTTCTTACCAAACTCAAAATCATTCCCTGTCCTGTCTAACTCATCCTCATCTGTCCTATCCAATCTTGAATCAGACCCATCAACTGCATCATCAGAGAATTCTACAGTCACTTCAACTCTTACCTCCCTCAAAATCACTAAGTTCTTCTACATCGATCATCATTTTTATTATTTTTGTCATTTTTTGGATTTTTTAAAGGGGTTTTGGGGTTTTGGGGTTTTGGGGTTTTGGGG